GGGACGCGCCGAGGGCTGCCGCCTTGGCCGCCTCCGCGTCCCCCGAGGCGCGGCGGGGGCTTCTGCTGGCGTCGCGACCGCGAGCCCTCCCTGGCTGGCGCGGGGACCCGAGGAAAGTGAATCCGAACCGCAGACCTTGGGTACGCGGCGTTCGGGTTCCTTCTTTCCCCTTTCCCTCAGGCTGTGCATGCAGGGACTGGGTAAATATTTGGGTTTTTGTGCAAGTACTTTCTCGTTGGTAAGATGTATTTTTCTTTTTGGTAAGATCAACATTTTCCACAGAGGGGCGGAAGAAGAAAGGGAAACTGGCTTCCCTGGCCTATGGCGTTGGTGGGATTGGATCGATTTCTGTGCGTTTGAAATTGTTTCATCCTGCCTGCTAGGGGGAAAGGCTGGCGCGCTGAGCAGAGGTCGGCGAGGAAGAGGAAGTTACTGGAGCTGTCATCTTCCTCTCCTGGGCCAGTTGTAGTGAGCTCTTTCGGAGGATTGTGCACAGGGAGCTCAGCTCAGCTGTTCGTACACATTAGGAGCACAGCTCCACATCTTAGGAGATACACTTTTACTGTTTACTAGTTACCGTAATTGTCTTTCAAGACAGTCAGGTGCCACAAACATGTTTTCCTCATTCTCTAAAACCTAGCGCAAACAGCTTCTACCCAGTGTGTGCTCTTGGAAAACTATTTTGAGAGTAGTATAAGCAAAATGCGATTACAAAGATAACATCTCCTGCCAATAGGCGTACGTGCAATTCAGAACCAAATATAAATGGCATTTGGGTAATTATTTGCTGACTTACTTCACTTGCTTCACCTTTGTATCTAGTTGGTTCATCTAGCTAGACCCTTACTGTGGAGAAAGTCGTAAAACAGGTTTCATCCTTTTAGGCCATGCTCTGTATAAGGGCTAGAGACTGAGCTTTGAACTTGGTCTCACAAAGAAATAGTGATGTTGTTCCCTGAGGTGTGGGAGTAAGAGAAGGAGGGCCGAAGAACTGTTTTATGTTACCACAAATTCAGAAGTAGCGTAACATGTGTAGTCTAATGGCGAAAGGATTTGGAGACCTCAGAACTCTCCTTATACCTTTCTTAGCTGTTTGGCTATTGGCGAAGTACTGTATGTAGTAGTCAAAAACCTGTGCTTTCTTGTCTGGAGTAGGGAGAATAGTACCTTTCAAGTTTCTATGTCACTTGGGATTGAACCCCAGGGTTTTGAATATGCTTAGGCAAGTGGTCTACTCCTGAGTTACATTTGCAGCTCTTGTCATTCCCCGTCTCCCCACCTGAAATTGTGATCTTCACAGTTTCATTCACGCTTAGGGCTGGGATTACAGGTGTGTGCCAGAGTGCCTAGCTCTCAGCTCTTGTTTTGAAATTTTGTTTTGAGACATACCTCCCTAAGTTGCCCAGCCCAGCTGTGAATTTGAAATCCTCCTGCCTCAGCCTCCTGAGTAACCGGTCTGTAACTCTGTCTAGTGTTGTCCTGTTTCTCTCTAACCCCCTTAATAACTTTTTAGTAAGATTGTGAGAATAATGAAAAATATTTGGGATCTAGTTGATACTTAGTTTTAGTTCTCCCTGCTACAACCTTATGAATACTGAAAAGCATTCATAACTATAAGTATTAATTACCAAGAACAATAGTATGTACCTGAGTAAAAAACAAGATAGTAGGACTTACACCGGGGATATAGCTTAGTGGTTAAGCACTTGCCTAGCATGTATGAGGCCCTAAGTTCCATTCTTTGGCATAAAAAACAAACAGAAAATACTGGCATAGTATGATGGCAAATGCATGTAATCCCAGCAGTTGGAAGGCTGGGGCAGGAAGATCACAAGTTCACAAATTGAAGGCCAGCCTGGACTAAATAGGGAGAACCTCTCTTGGAAAATGAACCAAATAAAAGAAATCAAGATAGAATAACTCAGAGTCCTTTGATATACATACAATATATAAAAACAGTTTTAATGTGTTCTTTTTCTAGAAGTCAAATTGTCATTAATGTATCTCAGTGTTCTAGTTCATAGAGAACAGTTATACTTCGTATTTTTTCATACTTTTGAATAGCCCATCAGTTTTATAACTTAGGAGTTTTTGCTGTGTAGCCCTGGAAAAAAACTTAAGGTAACTTGTACACGTTCTAATAAAATCCAGCATTAAAAAGGAGCAAGGAGCCAGAGCCATATAAAATAAGTACCACAGAAAATGCTATATATAATTCTTTGATTCTGGGAAATAAAACCTCTTATGTTTTTGAGTAGAATCAAAAATATATCAACCTCCAGTAATGTTTCATTTTTATTGTTTTGTGTGGATTAGTAAATGTGTTCATTGAAAAAAAATTTTTTTTTCATCTTTTTGAGACAGGGTCTTGCTATGAAGTTGAGACTGGCCTTAAGCTCACTTTGTAGCTCAGGCTGGTCTCAAACTCACAATGATCCTCCTGCCTCAGCCTCCTGGGTGCTGGGATTACAGGCATGTGCCGCCATACCCAGCTGTTCATTGAATTTTAAATGTATTGTCTGGGGAAAAAATAAATAATGACACGGAGTAAGAGCTAACAGAAAGATTAGTGAAAGGTTTTTGTTTTTTTTCCTTTTTCATTTGGTGAAGGCAAGGCAAAGAGAATGTGGTGAGGAGTTTCACTGGTTTGTTTGTAATGTCCCTGTTTACAAATGCCAATATTCCTAATTAGGCCTTATATCATTATTATGTGTATCAGCAATGATAAAAAACTTACTAGATTTTTCTAAAACTAAAATTCGACACATCTAGTTTAATTTTTTATATATAAAAGTTTCTGTGAAGTACTTCATTAGAATGCAAAGTGTCACAATTTTCTTAGTGTGTGTTGTGGGTATGTGTATATTTACAATAAATAGAATCATCTGTCATATTTAAAGAATTGTTACTTTAAATGATAATACTTAAAATATAAAAATGAATTTTGCCCTTATTTGGTAATTTTCATTAAACATTATGAATTATGTGGTATTTTAAAAGCTTGCATATATATATATATATATATTTAACTTGGGAGAATTTGGGAAAATATTTCTCTGCAATCATGATTCTAAGCTTTTATTTATACAGTGAAATTTATTAGTGGAACTTTTCATGCAATCATTGCTTAAAGGAATTATGTTACGACAAAATAAAGGTAGAAAATTGTGTAGGTTTTATTTTTATTTTTTATTTATTTTTTGTACTGGGGATTTAACCCAGGACCTTTGCACTGAGCTGCCTCTTTCAGCACTTTTTGTTTTAACTTTTAAAAAAAAATTTGAGGCAGGGTCTTGCTAAGTTGCTAAGTTGCCCAGGCTGGGCTCAAATTTAGGATTTTCCTGCCTCAGTCTCAAGAGTGTATCACCACACCTGGGCATGTTTTAAAATTTAATGTTAAAGAGGATTTTAAAGATTCTTTCCAAAATTCATGTTATAAATGTCTTTAACTAGAGGAATTGGAATACTTAAGAATTTCTGCATTTATTACTTTGGGGAGTGCTAATTAGGATAATAAATACACTCCAGAATCCAGTAGCTTAACATAGTTTGTTTTGCTTACCTGACAGTGCATTGCAGATGCTGCTGGGTAGCAGGCCCGTGGCTTTCCCTCAAGGGGTAATTTAGAGACCCAGGCTCCTTGTGTCTTGTCATCCACTATTCCTAGAATCCTAAAGTCCATTTCTTAATAACCTCCAAACTGAAAGTGACATCTCCCCAGATTTTGTTTGTTACAGAGCTTTATTGGAATCCAGAGGGGTTGGGAAATATAGTTCTTGGATAGTACACCCCTTGGTGATCTCTGCTACAAGGCATTTCATGGCATTATTTTATAAGTAACATATACTTATGACATTCTGTCTAAAAATGAATTGTACTTAATAATTCCTTTCCACCTTCAGTGAGTAAAATTGTATGAGAAGGAAAGGAGGTATGGAGGGAAAGTGAAAAGGTACAAAAGCTGAGCAGGGCAAGGGAAAACTGATATATGAGGAGTTTGGAAGACAAGTGAACTTAAGGTAATTAAAGGTAAATAGTTTTACAAATAACATAATTGGATCTGTATCATTTGGTGAGTGCCTTTACTATTCAGTTAGTGATTGTT